ATGTTTATTTTGAGGTCTGTAGGGTATACATCAAGGAACGGCAACTGCATTCATCAAGCAAATTCATGGGGTCTTCAACTGCTAAATAACAACCTCTAAAGGGACAGTTCCCAAAAATTAAAATGCTGTAATTTTTTCTCACTCATGTTCATTCCTTTGTGTGATAAACAGGCCAACATCTAATATTCATTATTTGCTAAAAAATCATAAGGAATTATATTTGGGTGAAATATCCCTTTAAGGTGCAAGATTCTTTCTTATTTTGTATATACTGTAAATGTCTGACACTTACACTACCACTAAAATAAAAATGAAGAAATTAATAGGCACACTTTAATTCAGTAAGGATATATTAAATTGGTCAAAAATGACACAAAAGGTTTTAATATTGTTAGAAAATTAATTTATATTGTGCAAATAAATACTGTTCTTCTAAACGTTCCATTTATCCTGAAAAAAACACGGCTTCCACAAAACTATTAAGCAGAACAGCTGCTTTCAGTGTTGATAATAGTAATAACAAAAATAAATGTTCTTGAGCACCAAAATGTGCTTTCATTAGAATTATTTATAAAGGCTCATGTGACACTGAGGACTGGAGTAATGATGCTGAAATTGGAATGAGCATAAGAGACTCCTTTCAAATACATTAAAAAAAAAAAAAAATCTTACCTACCTCAAACTTTGTAATAGTGTAGATGTCCATTTGCATTCCCTGGTTAAATTAAGCAATGAGTGAATAAACACACTGTGTGCCAGAAATCTTATTGACTAGATAGTAAATTGTGCACCAAACCCAGACTAATTTTTGTAGACTGTGTGAAGATGAAGTCTGACATCTGTCTTTATGTTTGTATTTTAGGCTCTCTCCATGGAATCGGGTAACGACCCTGGGCAGGATTACTATTCTCAAGACTACTACAGCTACGATCAAGGGTGAGTTTCATATATTCAAAGCTAGGATGTATTTGTTACAGACTAGGTTTGTATATTTCAGATGCATTTTCTTCCTCTCTTGAAGATCAAGTATGTAATGTCTGCCCCCTTATACAGTAGCTCCCTTTCTCTTTGTCTGTCTCCTGTGTCCTTCGGTTTTTCATCATCTTCGATCACTTCAGTATTTCTCTTTTTTTCTCTATTACAATTTTCACAATCATTTTGATGATAACAAAACATCTGAGCACAAAAAGATCCATACATAAATATAGAGACAGACTCTCCATGCGATTTCAGGCTAAAAGATTAAGATGCTTGTTGTGGGTACATTAACTGAGCATCTTGTGTCTGCAAACAGAAGGAGACAGCAGAAGACAGAGAAAAAGGGTGTAGACACTCTCAAATTGACACATACCGTACCATTCGGAACAGATGCTGTTGCAAATGTTCAAATGTTTAACTGCATGGTTTAAAGTCAGCCCTTCTGAGGAGATGCTGGAAGCTTTAATTAGATTAATATACCCTTAACTCCACACTGCCGTCTTTAGCTGAGCTCGGTGGATTCATTAAGACGTGAGACGCATGTTTTCTACTAAGACTTTCAGACCTGAGTTCAGTGTTCAAAGTGTAATTGCATCCTCTATTACGTTCGGTAGAGTAATTTGAATTTTCCAGCATGAGGAGCAGCAGATGGTCTTAAGGCCTCTGTAGTGCTCTGAGCGTTAGCTAAATTCAGAAAAGAGTATTTACTTTAACATCAAGATCAGGATATCTAATGAGGACTAGGGCTATCAATTGACATTTTAAAATGAATAGCACCAGTCCAGGATGTTGAATGGTCAATCCAGCATTCCAGTCATGCTAAAATACACATTATAGAGAAAGATATAATGAAAAACACCTGTTCACCTAGCTATTAATCTTAGCACTAGGTAAGTTTTCATATCAGGGACTGTATCTCATAGAAAGGGGGTTCCCAAACGTTTCCATCATTGGTTCACGTTTGCAGCATTAGAGTAGAAGAAATAGGCTTTGTCCATAAAAACCTGAAACACGCTTGCTCCGGTCCAGATATGATGTTTAGCACATAAAAAGCTCTCATGCTCGTTCTGTTTGTACATGTGAAATGCTTTTTACAGACAAATGTTCTTTATGTGTTGGTAGGTAGCCAAATGCACGGAAATGCAAAGAACGCATTCTTACCCCCATGTCTCTGAAAGACAACTGCGCTGAGTTGAACAGAAATGACAGAGCTCAATGAACAGATCTGCAACAGCCTTTCGTGACATTTGAATTATCCGATGTAATGCACACGAGTTGTTTTACGAGCATGCTTCACTATGAAACGCAACGCATATATTTATGCAATTAAATTGCGAGCAATAGTAAAAAGCAAGCAATATTGCGATTTCTATTCAATGCTGGTATATCATCACAGCTCCAGACTAAACTGTTTTTGTGTGAGTGTGTGTGTGTGTGTGTGTTATTCAGCGCAACGTAAATTAGCTGCAGCCAAGTGACTTTGCGCGACCACCTTTACCCATTTTGCGACCCACAGTTTGAAAACCCCTGTCCTAGAAGAAGGTTGGCATTTAAGGTATTTCCCAGCAACATTTTTAAAAGCATTTTATAAAATGAGCAATGCAATGAGAATTCCCTCAAAATGTTATCCGTTTGTGCACTCTGGATGTCAAGGTTTTCTTTGTCCATAGTCAAGGCCTATTAGAAAGACGGATGGCTTTGATTCCACAGACATCAAGGGACAGAGTGGGAAAGATAAGTGTTGCACTTCTGTCAGACTAAACGGCACCTGCTATCAGAAAGGCCCGTCCTGCTGAAGATCCAGGGCTATTTAACTTCGGAATCTTTAATGGGGGTTTAGCCTTTAATCCCTTGATCACAGAGGCTGTTTGTCCAGTGTGGGTGGAGCCACACATGGACTGGTGTTGCAAGTGTAATGAGGCATCGGATTAGCCTTTTCCCGTCTTGAATAAACACTTCAAACCTATTTTCTAGGGATACACGATATTGGATTTTGGGCGATATTCGATATGCCGATATTTGCAAACTAATTTTGTATGATGCCGATACCGATGTATTTGTATTTAAGTGCAAAAAAAGCTTATTAAAGCTTCTATTAAAGTTCTCAGTCAAGAGCAGTGAGTGATTTCCTCTTTGTGTTTTGTTGTTTTATTAACATTAAAGGGATAGTTCTCCCAAAAATTTTAATTGTCATCATTTACTCTCTCAAGTTGTTTTAAACCCAAATAAATGTCTGTCTTCTGTTGAAAATAAAAGTTATTTGGAAGAATGTGGCTAACCAAACTGTTGCTGTACTCCAGTGACTTCCATAGTATATTTAAGCAGAAGAAAGAAATGAATACAGGTTTGGAACAACATTAGATTGAGTAAATAATGACAGAATTTTTATTTCTGGGTGAACTATCTCTTTAAGGACAAGCGGCAGCATATTTACTATTAGGAGGATACTTTCTCTTTAAGAGCTGCACGCGACGCATCTAATATACACGCATTTGACAAGCAGATTTTCTCTGTTTGCTTTCACTTTAGACATAACCAACTTTGTTTATGTAAACCTTGTGTGTATTTGACAGTATTAGCGCAGTAAGACTGGAAAGATAACTTAGTCAGATATTCAGGCGCTGTTAGACAGGCTTTTAGTTCCTGTGAGCGTCGGGTGTACGCGCTCAGAAAAGCGCACGTTAGAACAGCGCATTAGCACGTGAATGACATGTTTAACCAGCAAGACTTTAAAGCACATGCAAATAATGAACTTTTGTGAATTGCAGTGTCCCGTGAGTGTAACTCTACCTCTGCGTTTACATGTGATGTGATGTGAATGTACGCCGCGTTGTACAGTATGTTGAGATGAAGGCGCCAGAATTGAACTGATAGAATGCACGATACTACGATATTTCTTCAAAAGCAGATCGTGGAGACATTTTAATCGTCCACGATCAAAAAATGTGATTATCGCACACCCCTATTAGGAAGTTTAAGTTTCTGGTGCTCATGCTTCGTTCACGGTCGTCACGTGCGCATAGGAAACACGCCACCCTATCGGCAAGGCTCATCAGCAGTAATTTTCATATCTGCCGATGATGGTCATTTTAAGCTTTTATCGGCCGATACCGATGTTGTCCCGATATCATCGTGCATCCCTACTATTTTCAAACCTGTTGGAGATCTGACCTCCAAAGTACTCAGAATTTATATTAGAGCTTTGAATTAAAGGTGTTGTAAGGTTTTTTGTTTGTTTGTTTGTTTACTTATTGCTTAAAATATATCACTAAATTAGGTGTCAATCACACCTGTCTCTGTGACAGCCATGCAAGTTGTTTTTTTTTTATTAAAAAAAACTTATTTTTTGTCTTTTTGGAATTGAATTTAGAATGCATTTATTTAGAAAATAAAAAGCAGGTCAATTCCTGAATTTGAATTGATGTAACAAACCGAATGCAGAATTGTAATGTAAGGTAGTAAAATTAACATGAATTACAATTCAATTAAACTTAATCAATTCAATTAAATGTTAGTCAAGACAAACTTTTCAAAATAGAAAAGCAACAATTGTCAAGACAAACTTCGAATGTTGTCTTGACGAAACCGTGTTTGTAAAGATTTTTAAAAAAGCATTGCAGTTTATACGTAATTTTGCCCAACACATTTAGCCAGCTAGGAAACATGTTTAGGTTTGCTGACGTTGGTTGAGATGTCTTTGGAGAGTAGGGTATAGGAGAGAAGGCATGTGGTTAAAGAGATGAGCTAATTCCATCTAGTGGAAATTAGCAAAATTGAAATCACTTACAACACCTTTAATATTGTTCTACACAGTACAATAATTCAAAGTTCACATGTTGTAACATTTCCATTCCTACATCCAGATATGATCCCTATCCGCCCTACGGCAGCCGCAGGAGGCTGATCACACCCATGTATGATGAGTATGGAGAGGCCATTGTGGAGGACGAAGGATATTACTATGGTGGACCAGAGGTAATCTTACACATTCATTCACAGACAACTTAGGATATGGTGCAGTTATGTTTTCTTTTGTTTTATTACCCATAATCTTGTCATCACCAATAGAAAATCATTTTCATTTCATGCATTTTTAAAAAAACAGGTTTGACAGTTTCATGTAAACTGTGATTAATGAGATTGTTTTAAAAGAATTGATGTCACAACAGGGTCGGGGGAGAGGGCGAGGTGGGCGAGGGAGAGGTCGCGGGCGTGGAAAGCGTGTGGGATTCCAGGATTTCCCACCAGAGGATGAGATTGAACAGGCAGAGTCTGAGGTTCCTGCTGAGGAGCCAGCAGAGTCTGAACCTGAACAATCCAAAGCTGCAAAGAGGCTGAAGTCTGTCATAAAGCTCAGCAAGTTCCTCGCTGCTGGGAAGAAAACTGAACCTACCTCCCCATGGAAGAAGGCCAGGATCTTCCCAATGATGTTTGGGAAAGGTAAGAAAGACAAAGATTACGCCAAGCTGACATCTGCACGTCGTATCGATAGTCAAGAGAGCTTGACGGGTGGGCAGAGCACCACTTCCATTGATGGCACAACCACTGCCAGGAGTCGGCTTGGGAAAGTCCTGAAACGCATTAATCTGGCAAACAAGCTGCAAATTAGAAGGAAATCACAGAGCAGCATCAGTAGAAGCTCTGTGAGTGAGAAAGATGAGTCTGCAACCGAGTCAGAGAGAGAAGAGAAGAAATCTAAAGTGTCCATCAGTGTCAGTGAGCCAGAGGCCAGCGGGAGTGGATCAGAGGCAGAGAGCCGAAAGAAAGGCTCAGACGAGGAGGAATCGTCCGATAGGAGCAGTGTAGTAGGCTCCACTGATGACAAAGATTATCTGAAAGTGGATCTGGACCGAGATGATGCCAATGAGAGCACAGTTGATTCTGAATCAGAGCCAGAAGAACCTGGTGATTCTGACGAGGAGAGTAAATCAAAATCTGGGACTGAAAAGTCAGGAACCGAAAAGGATTCCGAGGCATCTGATAAAGAATCTGAAACCGAGAAAGGGTCGGGTTCAGAGGAGGAATCCGGCTCAGAGGAAGAGTCAGGGTCTGGAAAGACCTCAGGAACAGAAAAAGAGTCTGGATCTGGGACTGAAAAATCAGGAACCGAGGAAGAGTCCAGCGCTGAGAAGAGTTCTGCCACAGAAAAGGAGTCTGAGGAAGAATCTGAAGAAGAGTCTAAAGGAACAGAAGAGTCAGGATCGGGAACGGAGCCGTCTTCTGCTCGCTCATCAATGAAATCATCCCGTACTGAGGATTCCTCGACACGTTCGAGTGCAGGAACTCAGAGCAGCAGAAGTGGAAGTGTTTCTGGTAGTGCAAGTGGTACTCCAAGTGGCAGTGGATCAGGTGGCAGCTCTAAGGGGTCTTCAGCAAGGTCATCCCGAGCATCAGTGTCTGGTGAGGAGAGCAGTGGTGAGATAGGGTCAGTGAGTGGCTCTGAAGAGGCATCCGAGACAGAAATGAGCGGATCTGCTCCATCAGATGCCACTGGATCAGATGCTGTTTCTGTGTCCGACAGTGAGAGAAGCTCTACGAGCTCCAGATCAGCAGCAGGAAGCCGACGCTCTCGCAAGAGCATAATTACCCGATCATCCCAGGACACCATTGATGAGGAGAGTGAGGAGGAGGAAGAGGCTTCTGAAGAAGAAGAGGAGGATGAAACAGCAGATGAGAGCAGAGAGTCTGCCAGTGAGATGAGTGAAGGATCAATGTCACGGAGGTCAAGTGTGATCTCAGTGGCAGGAAGTGGAGGCACACCGTACGCCACAGAGAACAGCGTGACGGAGAGTTCAGATGAAGCATTTGGAGGCCTCTCACCCATCACAGAGGTGGATGAGGATGCCATAACTTCCGGCAGTGGCTCAGCATCTGAAAGTGGCTCTATGATTCGCTCAAAGCAATCAGGAACAGAAGGAACCACGGAAGTAACAGATGCAGATTCCGAATCAGGAGATTCCACAGCTTTCTAAAAAGGGGCCAAGTAAGATTTAACTGACTTCTGTCATGGAGTGAAGATATTCCAACTTTTCTCAAAGTCTTTTCTCTTATTCTGGTGTGTTTTGGAACCATTCCAGCTGCATGGAAGTGCTGAAAATGGCATGCTGTTCACGGTTTTTGGTGTGCTTCTGAAATTCCTTCTCTTGAGTGAACTTACATTACCATCACTGCTAAACTGTGTTTTCAGAACATTTATTTTAATCCTCTCATGTTTCCTTTCCCCAAAACCTTATCCCTTTGAGTGCTTTGATATGATATTGATACCATGTGTGGGGCAGTCAGTTTGCTTCTCTATTCGGGGTGAACACAAGATTCAGTTTGGTTAAGATTGCAATTTTTCACCTTTAGTCTCTACCATTCCCACCTGGGGGGTTTCTCTTTGATAGTTGATTTATGTTAGTAATTCTTCTCTCTAATCTACAGGCTGGAAAAAAAAAGAGGGTCAAACTGGTGTTGGACAGAGAGCACGACACAACTTCAACAGGAGAGGACAGTGGACCGGATGTCACACGCAATCGCATACCCAACGTCAGCAGCCACAGTAACATCAACGGATTAGTATACCTTGCCCAAAACGGTACCATCATCCGAACACGGAGGCCCCCTTACCCCAACAACTTAAAACTGGGCTCACCAACACGATTAAGCAAACAATTTAAAAAACTAGATAAGCTAGGTGTCACACACGAAGAGCATTTACCTTTAAATGGAACAGAAGACAATGGGTCTATTATCGGCACCACCACTGACCATTCCTATGTTACTGATCACAACCTCAACTCCAAAGAGTGTAGTATAATGGGCCTTAACAGCACAGGGCCCAAATCCAACATTGATAAAGCCCGTTTGGAGCAGGATAGGGGGAACTGTGAGCAGGAGTCCTCAGTGGACAACAGGGAAATTAAAGAGTCGGTAGAATCTCCATGTGAGCAAACACTGTCTGATGAAGAGGAACTCTGGATGGGTCCCTGGAACAACTTACACATACCAATGACAAAACTCTGATTTTTAGTTTTGCTAATGCTGGTGGTACTGTTTCTATTTAGTTTCCTTTCAAGTCTTTTCTATGTTTTATTTGGGTTCTTTGAAAGATTTTGTTGTACACACACCACTAGACACCGACTAAGAAATGTGATTCTCTTATACGGAATCATTTTTTCATGCAGTTGACTATATTTCACTTCTTATTGTAGTTTCAGATAAATTGTTGTGGAAGACAGAGCTATTCTGTACAAATTCCTTTGCCTCAAGTCAACTGTTTCCAAAATGTATAACTGTATGTAAATGAAATTGTTAGATATCAGATACGATTTTACAAAGACAATACAAAGAAAATGTAGCCGATTTAACCAATTTAGAACGCGTGTCAATTACAGCTTTGATTGAAGAGTATTTTTTATTAATGAGTCACGCAACGGTTGCTTGAAAATTCCCTAAAAATCAGTATAACCAGTGATGGCTGCTGTACATTCAATTATTCCTCATGTTTTTTAATGGATGTATTTTTTACATTGAGAACATATATGGTTGTAATGGCCGTAATATTTTGAAAAAAAATATTTCCATAGATCTATAAATGTATACTTAAGTATAATACAGTATATGTATTTTGATAACTTTAACTGTTTTTTTTTGTTCATTCTTCTTTTCATCAAAAAATCTAATTAATTAATCTTGTTTTTTTTCTTCCCTTTTGAGTTTTTTTTTTATACTGGTCAGATTGTTTGAAGTTTTGATTTATTATTATCATGAATAAAATTGTGAACATAATCCAAACATGTTTGTCAATAAATTAGCTATTCACAGACACACACACACACACACACACACACACACACTATATATATATATTATATATACCTGCTGTGCTTTACTGGTCAGTATATAACAGAGGCTTTTTCATATGAGAAATAAGTACACAAAGGCTTTCTCAGATGAATCACTGAGCATCAGTATTTATCCCAACAATCTTTCATCTGTCCATCAAAGGCTGACCGCTCTGTCAGATATGAATATTTGCCCATCCACATTATTACAGCTGCCAGAAAGTGTCTCTGAAAAATGAGTTCTAGAATGTTCCTTGATGCTTATGACGTGATGTGAAGATATCTTTACTACAGTAAAAATAACAAATAACTGGACTCGTAACTATACAATGGTTATTTCTTGTCTTCTAATTTGCCTGGACACGCAATGTTCCAATAGTGCTTTTATTTAGTTTAAAACTTTCTTTTCATTCTTAAAATGCTGTTACTTTCTAATTGCAGAGTACCGGAAACATCTGTTTGTGATTACTGAGGTTAAACTTCTATATTTGACTTCTTGTTTACCTGCAATCAAGTAAAAAAAAAAAAAAAAAAAACTTTAAAATGATTACAGCCTGCTTGTTTGGTTACAGCTTTTGTGTCGCCATTTTCCACTATTTTTTATACTTGATTCTTGATTATTTGCATGATGTTGTGTTTATGCATTGTATGTGTTTGTGTAACCTCATGCACATACAGATGTGAAGTGATTGACTGTTATCTGCAGAGTTGTACGTTCACCAGCAGAGGGAGACACACTATTTACCCATCCACTCTTCTCAGAGCTCTGATAGTCATCACTTACTTTGCTTAACGCAAATCGCACAGAAAAGGAAAGCACAAATGTTTAAAATTTGTTTTGCTTTCTGAATTGAAATCATACTCTGATTACCTTGAGGAACATTTTTCTGAATAGATTCTTAAAGGTGAACTTAGACTTGTGAACTTATTTATTTAGCATGTTAAACTTCTTAATTCGAACCCAATTTATTGTGCAGAGTCAACTTTGTATGTCGACATCCTGAAGAACATGTAAAAAAAATGTGATTCTGTGGTGGTTTTAAAACTTTGGCTGTGTTCAGAATAGAATTCTGCCTTCTTATTGAATACGGTACAGTATAAATGGTATACTGATTGCCGTTTTAAAAAGAAAAATAGTACGTGCACCAGTAGGTAATATATAAATGTTTGATATAGCTGTTGTTGTCACACAAATTTAAAATATGGCTATTTTGAATTTTCAATTCCGTTTTGGGGAAAAAATGTTAAAAAAAAAAAACCTTTAGGCAGTCTGATCAAATACCAAAGTCAAAATAAAGATGTTATAAATCTCACAGGTTCATCACACTGGAAAAGGAAGGTCATGACCGCAACATTTATCAAATTTTTATGTGGTGTATGTTGAGATATATAAGTGTTATTGTTTTCAGAGTCATACATCCTGTTCTCCTTTAAACAATTAAGTATTTTAAATGTCTTCAGTGTTGCTGAATAATTATAGTCAAGCGTAGTAGAATACGAAGGCCCACCCAGGGCCGCATTAAGAGCTCACTGGGCCCCGGGGCTATGGGTTACTGCAGGGCCCCCCACCACTACAGGTCACCAACTACATGAGCTAAATGTTCTATCATTATACGAGTCATTTTATCAATCTATGATATACTTCACAGTTAAGTTATATTACTTTTAAAACGATTTTTTATCATATCAAAATTTAATGGCACTAACATTTCATAATTCTTGTGACCAATTTCAATATCACAAAAAATAATAGTAACTTAAGAAAAGAATCTCAAGCTTACCGATGACAAGAGTAACAACAATTAACAATAGAACAAAGGCATATAAGAAATCGACCTTGAAAAACTTAAAGCACTGAATAATATTATATTGTATAAAGTAATCAAATATACAATACATAGTTTTCACTATAAATTCAACATTCATTCTTATTAATTTTACAAAAGTGATTCATTCAAGGGCAGTAAATTACTTTCTTTCTGATGTTTGATTAACATTATGGACACAAATGGCGACAGCAGCTTTATTAGCAGCTACTGTCACTTTAAGACCTCAGGGTCGGAACTCAAATGCGCTGTGCAAAACCGCCTCAAGTTCACCATCATTTAAAATAATTTGTATCCAAACCACAATGATTAAAAACGCGTTTAATTTATAAACTTACATCATGATGTCTTAGCAAAATTTACATATTTCTACCGGATATATTATCGCCAGCCCTTTAGGCGAATATAGAGTTTGATCAAACACAAAAAGCAAGATCAAACATCCATCAAGTTAATAATCAAACTTACCGAAAATTTGTGGGGTCGACGATGACGCTGTGTTTTAAAAAATAGTCTAGACTCTAGAATGAAGTGAAGGGTGGAGGCGATTTATTGGTTGATGCGTATAGCTATATTCTAATAAGGCGCAGGCACTCCAGGCAGCCATCTATAGGCCTATGTGCAGCAGCAGGTCGATCGTTCACAAGTTAAATATAGAATAAATGTATTATGTTAAAATAAACGTGACGTTTCATTTCACCATGCCCTGTCCTGCTGCCCACGGGGGTTTGATTGACAGGCGGCCTGGCCAATCATAACGCCGAATATGCAATTTTGTCCGACAACAAAGCTGTCAGTAGATGAACGTCGGTGGACTTGAACTTTAAAACGGTATTGTTTAAATTATTTAAATTACAATATTTGAAAGTTGAGACTTTGTTTCATATCAACAGTAAGCTGCTCTGAACTCTCTCTCGTAGTCAATTGTGTAACGTTAGTCTTTACCCCGCGATGTATTTTTCACTGCGTGAGTGAGAACATGATGTGCGTGACTCGTGAGAGCCGCCTGGCTTGTCACACAGTAACTAAAAAAGGCGGGTCTTTGCGAACGGTCACTATAATATTAATGATAATGATTCCATGATAATGCATGGAATATTCGGCAAAGCGCTACTAAATAACAGGGCTAATTTGTGGGGGGCGTTGCGTGGGAAGGCTTTGGCAATCAGATGGCTAGTAGTATCTGCTCCACAGCCAATCAAGGGCCCCCTCCTTGCTCGGGCCCCGGGGCTTTAGCCCCGCCTAGCCCTATTGTTAATGCGGCCGTGGGCCCACCTGTCCCCTTATTTCCCTTCCTGCACATGTGCTGCAGTGAGCTGTGTTTGACTCAAATGGGCTCTGACTGTGAGCTGCCTCCTCTCCTCATGGCTCTGGCTGCTGTTGATGCTTTAGCGTGTGTGTGGGCAGATGCAGGTTGTAAGCATGCATGAGGAGGGAGAGTGTGTGCACATGCGTGACTGGATTGTGTTTGTCACGCAGGAAGG